CTCACTATAAAACAATCCTATATTTGTTTTCTACCCATCGCTATACACCGAGGCGGAGATTCATTTTTATTATAAAGACAAACTTGAGGTGTACATACACCCCAGCTTTACTGCTGCTGCTGCTGCTGCTGCTGCTGCTGCTGCTGCTGCTGCTGCATGCGTTTGCATGCGTATGAGGATTTTGGGGCTTGGCTTCTCTTGAGGGGATCTATTTGTGTATTGTTTGTTTTTTTTTCTTTTTTCTTTTTATTTATATTTTGTTAAATTATTTTAATTTATTTATTTATATTCATCAGCAGAAATAAATACGTTTCTTTTTCTCTTTTTCTCTGGAGCCCTGAGGCCTCCTCGTGCTGCTGCTGCTGCTGCTGCTGCTGCTGCTGCTTGCAGCCATCTGCTGCTGCTGCTGCTGCTGCTGCTGCTGTCTCCTCTTTGCTGCTGCAGCATCACCCCCAGAGCTTCACAAGCCCAGTGCCTATAGGCGCTCCAGCCCCTTGCTGCAGCTGTAGCGGGAGCAGCAGCAGCAGCTCCTGCTGCTGCTGCTGCTGTTGCTGCTGCTGCTGTTCTTGCTGCTGCACCGCTTGAGGAGACGATCCCACGCCAGCAGCATGTCCTAGGAGCCGTGCAGCTGCTGCTGCCGTCCCTTCTGCTGCTGCTGCTGCTGTTGCTGTAGCTGCTGCTGCAGCTCTAGCTGCTGCTGCTGCTGCTGCAGTTCTTCTTCCTGCAGCAGCACTACCCCGCTTCTCCACCAACCCCACCCCATCACCACCCCCACCCCCCTCACCACCAGCACCACCGGCACCAACATCACCAGCACCAGCACCACCAGCATCACCAGCACCAGCAGCAGCAGCAGCAGCACCAGCAGCAGCAGCAGCAGCAGGAGCAGCAGCAGCAGCAGCAGGAGCAGCAGCAGCAGCAGCAGGAGCAGCAGCAGCAGCAGCAGTGATGGATAGCCGTGCTGCCCCCGCTGGGGCTGGTAACAGCGGGGGCGTGTCTTGTGGTTATTCTTTTTTTTCTCACTTTTCTCCTTTGTCTCAGCAGCAAAGACAAGCAGCACACGAGATACTACCAGGTTTATATTTGGGTTCTGCTGCAGCAGCAAGAAGCGGCACCTGGCTGCAGCAGAATAGAATAACACATATATTATGTTTACACAGTGCTGCTGCTGCACCTCAGTTGCTGCTGCAGCAGCTGCAGCAGCAACTGCAGCAAAGAAAAGAAATTATTAAATGTAATCCGGAAACAGAAACAACAAAAATATATAAACAGCAGCAGCTGCTGCAGCAGATGCAGCAGCAGCAGCTAGTGCAGCACCTCACCGTACACCCCGATAGATATGTTTACTGCTGCTGCTCTGTTGTCGATACACCGCAAGAACTTATGCTTCCTCTTATTCCTTTTTGTTTAGAGTTTATTGATAGGGCTTTATTAGATAGAAACTATAGATTGCATCCACCTACAGAGCAGCAGCTTGCTGCTGCTGCTGCTGCTGCAGCAGCAGGAACACCAGCAGCAAATGTTAGATTGCTGCAGGGGAGAAGGAGAAACCACTGCTTCATAGAAAAAGAAAACATATGCAGCATGTTCTCTTTTACCCAAGATGATTTCACTCAACCTGCTGCTGCTTCTGCTGCTGCTGCTGCAGCTCCTGCTGCTGCTGCTGCTGCTGCAGCAGCAGCAGCAGCAGCAGAAGGACCAGCAGCAGCAGAAGGACCAGCAGCAGCAGAAGTTGCAGCACAAGACGGATCGCCAAGCAGCCCTTCTCCTCCCTCCTCCTCCTCCTCCTCTTCCTCCTCAGCAGCAGCAGCAGCAGCAGCAGCAGCAGCAGCAGCAGGGAGAAGGGGAGCTGGGGGCCGCGTGCTGGTACACTGCGCAAAAGGTATAAGCCGCAGCGCCTGTGTTATTCTTGCTTTTTTAATTTATAGAAAAAGTCTCCGCCTCGATGATGCTATCTCCTTTCTCACCAAAAAGAGACCCGTTTACCCCAATGTAGGCTTTCAGGTGAGTTTTTTATTTTTTTTTTTTTTTTTTTTTTTTTTTTTTTTTTTTTTTTTTTTTTTNGGGGGGGGGGGGGGGGTTGGGGGAAGGGAGAGGGTTTAGGGTTTAGAGAAAGGAGACAGTAGATATAGAGATAAGGGAGACAGGAGAGACAGAGAAAGGAGAAAGGAGAAAAGAGAAAGGAGACAGTAGAAAGGAGAAAGGAGACAGTAGAAAGAGAAAGGAGACAGTAGAAAGAGAAAGGAGACAGTAGAAAGAGAAAGGAGACAGTAAAAAAGAGAAAAGAGAAAGGAGACAGTAGAGACAAAGAAAAGGGAAATGAGACAATAGAAAAGAGAAAGGAGACAGTAGAAAGAGAAAGGAGACAGAAGAAGGAGACAGTAGAAAGAGAAAGGAGACAGTGTAAAGCATGGTGTCTCTGTGTCTCCTTTTCAGGTGCAGCTGCAGTATTTGCAGGATCGGCTGGAGGAGGTGCGGCCCGCTCTACCCCACAACATTGAGAGTGATGAGCAGCAGCAGCAGCAGCAGCAGCAGCAGCAGCAGCAGCAGCAAAAGGGAGCAGCAGCAGGAGCTGCTGCTGCGCATGCATTCCATGCTACTGTCTCCATCGAAGACAGCGAGCCCGATATATTCAGAAGAGACCCAGACGCCAGAACCAGTGAGGGTTTAGGGTTTCTCTCTAAACCCTAAACCCTAAACCCTAAACCCTAATATCACAATAAAGAGAAATATAAAAGGAGACAGAGATGCAAGCAGACAAACACAAAAAGAAATAGAAAAAAAATAAAAAAAAAAAAGGAGACACAAGGAGACACCCCATACAAACCAGAAAACCCTACTGCTGCAGCCTCCTCCA